CCCCCGTCCAGCTGCTGAAGGTGTGTGGACATGGAGACACAGTGAGGGGAGATGGAAGAAATGAGGAGCAGCAAGGGGACAGCAAACCTTCCCCCCTCCACCAGTGCCAAGCCGTCATCCCTCCTGGGGTCGTTCCACAGAGGGTAAGCCCAGGAGGGCCCTGCCCAAAGGGAACCAGAGGTTGTCAGTGGGCAGTATGGGGCAGGGACCCTGCTCTCGCCACCCCAGCTGGTGGCCCCATGGTTAAGAGGCAGGTCAGTGCTGTTAGCACAGCTGTGGCAGGCAGGGGCTGGGGGAGGAGGGGGTCTAGCCTGCTGGGGTGGCAGGACAGACAGTTGGTGGCCATGCCACCCTTTAGTGACAAAGCCAGTGCATGCGTAGAATGCTGCTGGCCTCCAGGCTCCTGGTAGTGCCATGTCCCAGCTCCAAAGCACCAGAACAGGGACAGTGGTGGTGCAGGGGTAGAAGCCAACTCCAGCCTCTTGGGGACCAGCCTGGGCAAGACAGGGTGACCACAGGCTATGATACAGGTGCCAGCACCCAGCAGGGTCTGCCCCAGAAGGGAGGCAAGAAAACAGGGTAGGACAAGCCTTCACCTGGCCTGGAGAGCTCTCTGCAGACCAGGAGACTGGCAACATCACCACCAGCAGCCTCAGCACTAGAGAACCTGGCACCACCAGCCTAGTGGGGGCACCAGCATGGGCCAGCCCTGGCTGGGCAGCCCCAATGCCCAAGCTCATCTTCACCAGCTACAGAGGAAGGAGATGAGGTTACAGAGGTGTGGATTAAGGCCAGAGTGAGTTGATCCAAACTGGGCTCTTTCTCCCCAGAATACGTGGCTGGCACAGGCAGGGAAGGCAGGGAGGCACCCACCCAACCCACCAACTTACAGACTGGCGCATGCAGTAGAGACATGGAGGGCAGGCAGGCAGGGGAGATGGTGGGAAAGAAAAAGAAAACATGAGCAAAAAGAAAGAAAAACCAATCCAAAACCAGCACACAACAGAGCGCACATCAGTGCCGGACAGGAGCAGGGCAGTGCCTGCCACCACCCACAGCGGGACCTGTGCTCGGCCTGGGCTCTCCCTCACCAGCTGTGCTGAAACACAGGCTCAGATTAGCATTACGTTGGGTCGCCACCACCACAGCTCCCACTGGCCCCAGCATGCCATTAGTGTAAAGGCACCTTGCCAGGGTGGGCATCCCACAGAGTATCTTGATGTCCCATGGAGCAAACCAACAGACCACAGCCACCAGAACTTACAAGCCCTGCCAGAGCTCCGGGTGAACACTTCCAGGAGCACCCAGCTCTGGCCCCAGCGATTTGTAACCTTGTGCCCCAGAGTGCCCCAGTCAGACACAGGGTCCATGTGGTGCATTCCCTGCCCTGCACCGTGAGGAGCTGGGAACTCTTCCCAGCACTACTCCAGTGCTCGTTGAGCACTCAGGGGGACTGTGGCTGTCCCAACATCCAGCTGCAACTTCCCCTTCCCCCCCTGAACATCCCTGCTGATGGTAGCCCCAGGCTGGTTGGTGCTGGCACCCCCAGGGAAGCACCCATGGATGGGATGCTTCTGGCTCTCCAACCCCCCTGCATCTGCCCCACCAGCCCTCAGCTGCAGCCCATGCCCAGCAATGGGTCCCCACCAGCTGTTGGGCCCCCCCCCATCCCCAAGCTGTCCCTGGGTGCTGCAGCAGCTCCCCAGAGCCTCAGGGTGGCTCCAAGTATAAGTGCCCTGAGCACCACCCTGCTGGCACCATGGATGGGATGCTTCTGGCTCTCCAACCCCCCTGCATCTGCCCCACCAGCCCTCAGCTGCAGCCCATGCCCAGCAATGGGTCCCCACCAGCTGTTGGGCCCCCCCCCATCCCCAAGCTGTCCCTGGGTGCTGCAGCAGCTCCCCAGAGCCTCAGGGTGGCTCCAAGTATAAGTGCCCTGAGCACCACCCTGCTGGCACCCACCTTCCTTCACAGGGATGGTTGGCTTCTTCTGCCGCAGCCCCAGAAGGATGAAGAAGAGCACCAGGGGGATGAAGATCTCAAAGGTCAGCACCCACTGGGGATCACAGAATCACAGAATGGTTTGGGTTGGAAGGGACATTAAAAATCATCCAGTTCCAACCCCCCTGGATGACACCAAGCAGCGGGATTATGATGCTTGGAAACAAGACCCAGCTACCAAGGAGGAGCACGGGCAGGATGGAGGGCCCTGGGATGCCTGCACAGGGCGGTACCATGCCCACATGCTGCAGGTGGCTGTTGTCACTGTCACAGCTCAGTCAGAGGCAAAGGGGTCCCTAGGCACCCAAGGATCTCCTGCTTGGCCCCATCTGCACCCTACCTGCTTCATTCTGCCTAGGGGTACCTCAAGACAGGAGAGGGTATCACAGAGGGATACCTACTTCATCAACATGAACAAGGTGCTGGGGCTTGAGCCCAGCCCCAGCAGGCCACCACAGCCAGGGCTTCCATGGGGAGATGACCCCAAGTCCTTATGGCTGGCAAAGAGCTGTAGGTTTCCATCCTGGCAGTGCCCTTATAGTCAGTACCTGCCTAGCACAATGTCCCCCTGCCACCCATGCCACCACCGAGTCCCACCTGTGGGCCGTGCAGGGGACAGATCCCAACTGCATCATGACAAAGTTCAGTTTGGCCAGACCCTGGCACTGGCTCCAGATGCAGCGGAGGGGCAGCACTGGGGGTCCAGGCACTCCCTCTGGGCCCTCCCAGAAACCTATGGCTGCACGGTATTTCCTCCAGCAGCATATGGATAGTAACAGCAAATCCCCAGGAATCCCTGGTCCCGATCATGCAGGCAGCCCAGCTCCATGCCCAGAGGCCCTGGGGATGGGCATCAACTGCCAGATCACACTGGGAGTGCCCAGGCCATGTCACGGCCACATCACTATTGCTGCTGAGAAGAGAAACTGAGACACCGGGTGAGGTGAGCCAACCTCAGCTTGCTCCAGGGCCAGATCTGAGCCCAGGCTGGTGATGAGACCCTGGAACCTGCTGCCACCACAGAGGCAGTACAGGTGCCAGCTCCACTGGGCACCAACCACCAGCTCCCGCAACAGCCCAGTCACCTGCAGTGCCCAGGTACCACAACAATGCAGTGGGGTGGGAAGAGACAGCTTTAACCCTACAGCAGCTGCCTGGAAGGATGTAGCTGGTGGCAGG